TGACTAAATTGCAAAAGCTTTCACTGATTGATTGTTTTCGGTGCACCGTTCTCCTGTTTTCCATTTTACGGCTATACCTAAGTGACTGCTCCGGTTTCTTATTCCCTTTGTTGTGTCGATATTTGTTTTTGGACTGGGGGGAGGAGTGAGGGAGTGCTTTATAACTTAATAACTAACAGTATAAGTATAGCTATAATTATGCCTGCTTAGTATCTAAATTGATCATCGCCATTCTTGTGCCACTGCTGCGACTAGAGACGGAACCAAAGGGTAAAGAGTTTTGAACTTTTGTACCAAAAGCCATTTGGCAGTAGATCAGCTTAATCAAACGTGCAATTGTTGCATACCCTTTGAAGCCGTGCGCGACAGATTCCCTTATTTCTGAACGCACGTCGATCGCCTGAGGGCAGAATTGCCGGCTTTCAAGAAGAGAAGTAACGTTTCTGCTGCGGCTGTTTACTTTTTCGTACGTAATTTTTGGAATGCTAGTCGACGAAACTGCGCAGTTGTAGATTTGAAACGTGAAAAGTCATTATCTTTCGTTTTCCATGGTTCCTATACAAAGAACCTGGCTTTCTGAGAAGAGTTGAAAGGCTACCAATCTAATGGATTCTTTTTGCAGTTCATGGTTTGAGATCAATAAGTGAAAAAGGAAATGTAATGTGTACGCGTTTCGTTTCGTAACATTTTGGAGTCATTGTTTGTCTGAGGATATGGTAACCAAACACGTCACATTCTAAATAACAAATTTGTTTTTGACTTGAAAATATGGCACGTGAAAATGCGTCATGCCGTACGACCCCTGATAGAAAGATGACAACCGTCGATTAGATCTGTATGACCTTTGAAGTTTTGAAAACTCATTAACTAGGCTTTCGGTTAAGGTCATATTGGATTGCGATCGGTGGCGTACTTCATTCGGTAACGCACAGTGCTCGCAGTCGAAACGCAAGATCTTCCGATAGAATCTCATCCCGCTCGTTCTTTTTCATCATTTCAAAGTGGATAAACGGATACAGCTGCTTGGCGAAGCAGGGACTCTGCGCTGTAATGGCACCTAACCGGCACTCCGTGCGTACTGGCTTTAAAAATAGGCCCGTTCCTGACTGACTACTTTTATAGTGTTTTCAAAGAGCGGTAGCAAATGGCTTGCTTGTGAAGAGCAAACCAAATTGATATCTCAGTGCAGAGAAAATTTTATTCCCCCGTACTAGCGCTTTGCTTTGCTGCCTATCATTAATTAACTAGTACTACTTGGTTTCGGTGAGATTTATATATGACTGATCTCGAACGTCTTTCGAATAAGAGCAGGGCGGTGCTACATTATAATCTGTATGAAAGAAGGTTACTAGAAATGTCTTTTACATGGTATCATAATCAAAATCGAATTGCCGTGCTGATCGAATTTGAAAACTGTTCGTATTTGTTCTCATTTTTTTCTTACTTACCTGTTGCCAGTCGCTAGTCGTCTTCAGTAAGTGGTACTATCAGTCACGAGCAAATGCATTAGGTAGTTTTGAATAACTGGTGCCATAATAATTGTCACTCCTTCATGAAGGTTGAATGGATACCAACATTTGAGATCTGATAGATCTTACCTTTCTTTTTTAACATGTTGGATGTACCTGTTGCATTGGCACCTCGATCTCAGATCATCGTTATTAAACGTGGTGAAACCATGTGAATAACTGCAACGTAGATCACGCGGATGCACGTGCACGAAATCACGAAGTAGAGATGAATTAAATTAGACAGCGATTGGATTGCGTTGCATTGCATCGCGCGTTTGGTACGTCGCCACAGGCATAGACTATAAACAGCTGCGCGGTGACAATTGTAACCGTCGTAAACGATGTAGTTACAATGAGTTTTTGATGTGTCGTTACCACCGCATTGTCGTTAATGATTCTGATGGTAGTCGTTTGGCGTTGAGAGAGAGGGGGAGGGAACTTACTCTTTTCTAAGAATCATTGAGGCATTGTATTGATGAATTTGAATGTGTCGTACGCATGACTGATCAGTGTTTAACAGTTTCATTTCCATATATTTATGTTTATATTCACAATTCGTCCTTCTGTCTCCTTAACGAATAACTATAAACGAAACCTCTTACTACCTCCGTTTGTTTGTTTTTTCTTTCTGTATGTTCATATGACATGGAGAATATGTTCTCGTAAATGTTGGTTGTGGTATATTTCGATCGAAAGATTAGAGTCCTTGTGCGATTTGCTTTGTCGAGATGAATGACCTTTAGATACTGACCATCGTAAATTTTGATTTGTCTGTCGGTCGTTGGAGTGCGCGTGCGGGTGTTTGCACGAACGAGTAAGCATCGGTGCCGATCAGCATCTATAATGCCATGTAGTGCATGCGTTTGTCGTCCGTTTGCCAACCGGTTTGTCAACCGGAACACCAACGAACCGCTGAAGCAACCGTGGAATTGTCGGGCGACGGTGACCGACGGGGGCAAGTATCGCCTCGCTCACACTCGTGGCCTCGTCTTGCTCTCGACACCGATCAAACTCGTAACTGCCATCCGATCTGGTCGAGACGTTGCCCAGGCGTGACGCGTCGTCGCTAGTCGTTTGTCCGTCACTTACCGTCACAATTGCTGTCGCTATGCCTCATCTAGTCCTTCTCTCCTCAAACGGCTTTGCTTGTGATTCTGATGCACGTCGTCATGCTGCGACGGTGCTGCCGGAATTTTCGCTCTAAAAACTCCGTCGCCGTCGAAACACACAGCGTCTACTTTCTTCAGTGTTTCGAAGAAAAATGAACTGAAAAAGTTGTTTCCGTGATGACTCGTCTGGAAATGGTGGCCGCCATTGGCGAATCTTTCGAATATCCAGCGATCGGTTTTGAAAAACTACTTTACTCTCTCTCTCTCTCTCTCTCTCCACTTCCTCTTTCTTTATAACCACGTTTTGCTTTTGAAGATTCTACAATTTTCAACTCATACGTGTCTAGTAGCTTTCCAGTAGCTCTGATCGTAGTGGAAAGTGGTTAGCCATCTATTTCCACTCATCGCTAACTGATAAACGGTAGTGCCTCATTTCTAGAGAAACGTCCCTGTTTGAAGTAATCGGGTGATGTTCTTGTTGGTTTTAAACACACGTTTCCTCAGACAACGATATCGATTCCTATTAATGTGCGAGATAAATCTGCCTATAGAAATTCATCTACATTTGTAAAATCAGTAACATCATATAATATTATCGAGGATATTCCTCGGAACTTTATATCAGCAGAAACCACCTAAAGACCTTTCATTGTACAAGGTGTACCTTAATGCTCTAATTACTATGCAGTTTTCTGACCTTAAAAAGTGCGTAGTTTAGAATAATTTTTTCGCTGGTACGGGATACTGAATTTACATTAAACTTATATAAGTAGTTTCTGTCTATGGCAGTCTCCGGTCACATCTCCGGATTCACACACATGGCATAATCACACGGTACCCTTGCTTCTAATAAATAGCCTATTGAAACTTTTAAGCAAACCGCAGCGGCACCGGGTTTTAGCACCAGTAGTACATAGGCGCAAAGCCTCTCCACTTTCTTGGGTCGGACAAAAATTTGTTCAGGCACAAACGGGTAATTCCGTCTGTTATTTAAACAGTGTAGCATGTGAACGTTTCATGGAATATTACCAGTGAAGATTGGCAAGGTAACGTACAGCAGTATTATTTGATTTTTAAATTGTACACTGAATTGCGAACCTTTGAGTTTTGTTTTGACTCTTTCAGAAGAAGATCTTCATCATTGAAGATGAGATGCTCGGCGAGTACGAATATGGCTGTTAGCCATGTTATGATTAATAATTTAAATTAGATGGATTGAAAGGAACAGGCGGAGCACAAAGTAAGCTAAGCGACAGTCATTGTCGGATGCGTAGTCATAAAAGTGTTCCAAAATCTAAAACGACGTATTTATAGGTACAAGTTCAAATTAAGTAGTTGACTAGTGAGAACGCGACTGTTAGCGGCACGTACGCTTCGATGCTCTTTCGGCGTGACGGATTTGCACCCGCGACCACTTGTGAATGTTGTCTCAAGCGTTTTAGTCACATTTGCTTGGTTAGTCACTGTTCACTTCTGTAAAGCTTTCGGTCTGTTGATCATCACCTACTGCAGGGGTGAGTTAATGGGCATTAAACTACCAGCACCAGTATTAAAGTACCAGTACCATTTGCACCGAATGAACAGTGGTCATCGTCAAGGAAAGTAAAAATTGTTCTGCAGCCGGCTTATGTCAGTTTGAATTTGACCGGCTCCTTATGCAGGCCATACATTTTATTGTGCTGTTCCGTTTTGAGGTTCCGTCTAGTTTCGCCA